TGCTTTTGTGTTTTTCCCATAGATTTTTCCCTTTCGATTCTGAGAGACACGTTTCTTTTTTCAGAGGTTTTGATAGGCTAAAACATCTAACTACCCATAATCCTCAGCTATCTTTCAAGCTTGGTGATTGGATATTTTAGTCGCAATGCATGTTGGGATATGGTGTTTATGCGATATGAAATCCGAAAAGATCAAAACATAAATAAAATAATAATACTTTATTCCGTGTGCACTTGCTTTTCTCTTTGAAAGTCATCACATAACGGCATTGTAATACACGGTTCGGCTGCATTAAATATTACACATCTTCCGTAGTTCTCTATTTATAGAGCCCTGATTTGAAGACCTTTGGACAAACTGGAAGAACTGCCACCGAAACTGAATACGTGACGTGGATCATAAATATATCAGCAATTAAACAACATCTTCAATTTCTCTTCACACAATACGTCTCCTTGCAGTATCAACATTAATTCGGCTGACTTTTATATTTGATCCAATTGGTAGATAGGTTATATTTACACCATAACGGTGCACAGCTGATAGAAAGGGACTTGTAGTTTTTAAAGATATTACTGATTTTCTTTGAATTAAAGAATGTAAATACTGAGTTGAGAGAATAGTCAGGGGTTTTGGGTGATGGGAGACACATCTATGGATTCAGAATTTCAATAGCTTACCGTTAAATGACGGATATACCTTTCTGTCTGTGATGTTTTACAAATCAGATATTAATGTGTAGAACTACAATATGTGAAATAATATAGCAATATCCTGTAAAATTGTGAAAACATGAATAAAACTACACATCTTCAGATGTTATACATACATAAGTGTCCTACACTAATAATACAAAGTTCTTATGGCATTGTATGTTGTGTGTTATTTGTAACATCTTCAGAAACTACCTTTCCAACTCCTCACCAGTTGACTGTTACAGGTCTATACAGGTTCATGGTACAATGCATAAGCTTAAAATCGAGAGACTGAAACTGTATTTTTCTTTACCGTTCTGTTTTAATTTCACAATAAAGTTAATAGTAAAATTATGTTTGATATTACTATGTTTTATTAACTAGACCACTGGGTCATGTTAAGACCATCTTTTCTGTCGGTTTGGTGTTACAAATATCAAAACAATATATGTGTGGATAACAAAATAAATCAGTCATAAACTAAACTGGAAAAGTATACTGGAAAGTATCATTTATTGTGTTAACACTGTAAACTTGACAATTATTTTACCCCCACCACCTAGTGGTTAAAGCACGTTATTGAATTTTGTTGTTGAATATGTTATATTTGATGAAAACATTTAAATATTAAGAGTAGCCTACTTACAAAATAGGGGGAAAGTAGAAGGTCAATGATAGAAATATAGAATAGAAAATATCAAGAAGATACTGTAGTGATCTCTACAATAAAACAGCCAGTGGAGGACGTCCAAATATATTAACAGGAGGATGTGCAAAACAGACAAACTAATAAGGCTTTATTTAAACATTAAAGAATACTTTAAGTTAAGGTCTTCTTTTGAATAAGAAAAAACGTTGGGGGTATCTACAGATAAATATTAAGCCTGACAAAGTACTTAACGTCTAATATATTGCATAGTTTATTTTGGCACTTGACAATCACCTTCCCTGAATTTTACTCAGGAGTAACTAAAGTCTGATTTAAGGGTTGTATATATTTCACATCATTAATCAGAATCTGCAAAGTAACTAAAATAAATGTAGCGGAGTAAAAATACCAGGTTAACCTCTGAATTGTAGTGGAGTAGAATTACAAAGTAACAATAAATTGCTGCAGTAACACAAACATTTCCCAACTTGGGATCAATAAAGGGGGGGACTCGGACTGGAGCCGTTCGAGTCCAGTTTTGGATAGTCTGCTGTGGTTTCATTCCATTTCAAAGAGCTGTTTGATGCTCGGCGTAACCTTGGCGCACTGCCACTCCAACATCCAATTACAGAGCTTGAGGACTAATCACGGGGTTTGTCAAGCAAAGCGGATGTTGTAGTCCCAAACGATAGCTGAGGATTGTGGGTAGTGTAGTGTCTTCGGCCATCCTAAACTCCGAAAAAACTATTTGTTTCTCCGAATCGAAGGGGAAAAACACAAAACTAAGCATTGTACACAATTTAAACCAATCAATGTTGTGTAATTAACAAGAATAAACTGGTGTTTTTTAGTGGATGAGTACTGCAGATATCACTGTAAAATCATTTGACAGTGAGGGGAATACTTCCGGTTTTATTATGAAAACTTCGAGACCGGAAATACTGTTTTTGCCAACTTGGGTTGACGCCAACTTTACATGGACGCTGCCGTCAATAGAAATGAATAGGGGGAAAGACGTAGTATATACAAGTTCTCCTGGCGAGACCTCAAATCATCTTCGTAATATCTATCAAACTATAGATCGTACACATCCACTGGACGTGGATTCTAAAAGTACAATATACACTTCTCGCTAGAAATCAAATAAAAAAGCATTTTAATGGCCAAACTATTCTACAATTTAGGATTTTTCAGAGAGGGTTATTTGTGAATATACGACCCTCCGGAGCGTTTGCAATCAACGGGAGCATCAGCCCATATGCCGCAAATTGTTGTTTCTTACACGACCACTAGAGGTGGTAAACTTTAAAACGTGACTATAGGTCGTAATAAGCTGCTGAACAATCGACCTATTTTGTCGTTTTTTTTTTTTTTGTCAATGGAGAGAGAAAGATTATCTTTCGATCCCGTTTCAATTGTGCCACGAATTACACATATGATGTTTGTCAATTTAAAAGACAATTTTGCAAGTCAAAAAAATAAAAATGTGTCGTAAAACTGTGAAGTAACACATTTGTTTGTGTGAAACGCTCAATGAACTACATCTCTGGTCTCACAGAACAACACACGTCACCAAGATGGCCGTCACTACTGTCAACAAAACGATTGACTATCCTCACTATCACCACAATGAAACACGTCCTGAAGAATGTCATGCAAAGCTGCCTGCCTGCCTTCCTTTGATTCTCTCTGAACTGCCTGGTCGTTTTAATGTTTAATGTCAACCATTTGTGCAGATAGCATGAAGTAGAGAAGATCGCTAGCGTTAGCGTTAGCATTTCTCCCCCGGGCTTAAATGGTGTATTATAGAATGATCACACCGGTGACAGTACTCTTCAAAGGGTTCACGAAATATGACTACTACTCTTACTGTTTAACATGTTGGGTTACTTCATGTTACTTCATGTTAAGGCTAATAAAAATGACACGGCTGTAATGCTAACTAACGTGCTAGCTACTAGCTAGCTTGATCCACACACTCCTAGTCCTTTCATCAGACGGGAAGCGAAAGAATGAGCAAGACCCATTGCTGGTATGATAACAACCAGCACACAGGCACACAGGCATCTTGTTAAAGTTATCTTATCTTAGCCAGCGCCATATAGATAGATTATATCTACTGTATATGGCGCTGATCTTAGCTATCAGTGGAGGAAAACAATTGTTACATCACTTACGCGACTCTGGGATTTGTAGTCTTTCTAGTTGCATATTTTTCATAGTCTTATATTTTAACAGTTTTACGACAAACTGACTTTTTTGACATGGAAATTATTTTCAAACGGGATCGAAAGATAAGTTTTCTCTCCATTGACTTCAATACATTATTTTTCCGAAATAAGGTCCCATGGACCTTATATATATATATATTTTTTAAATATATATTTTTTTAATATTATTTTTGTTATATTTCTCATTAGTTTTACCGAAAAAAAACTTGATTTAATTGTATTTAAAATAACATTTCCAAAGAAATAAATCCTTCGAATCTGCCTGTTCAGTCTCTGTTGAATGTGAAGGGTTACATGAAAGAAGCTCGTCTGGCCCTCTCTGCGATTCACAGAGGGCCCCCATTATTTTTCCGAAATAAGGTCCCATGGGGCGGAAGTAGATGGGCGTGACTTCGCCACTCTATATGGCGGACCATCTCGCACATGCGCAATGCAAATCGGGTAGGGATGCAGTCACAACCAGCGTTGTAGGACCGCTAAGCGAGATCGCGTTTGTTAGGGTTATTTAAGCCAGATAACTCAAACATATCCAGGGTCTGTTGAACTGGCTTCGTAGTACAGGGCACTGGTCTCAACACTTGTTTAGTTCTCTGCCTTTAAATTAGTCTCAACGATAGGCTACTGTATGCGAAAACCACCAACAGTTCTGCAACAACACACGAATAGTAAAACACGTAAAACGTCATAACAGTTAACTTACCTGCGGTTAACTTTTTAAGTTTAAAACAACTTAAAAAGGTTGTTCTAAACCAAACAACACCGAGCGCCATACTTCCCCCTGTTTACTTAAGAGCTGTGGGAGAAAGCGTCACATGAGTCGGCTTCATTTCATTGTAACACCCCCTTCCTTTGACTCCCCTTTGACTCCCCCCTGTAAAGCTGCAAACACAACGTTAATAGTGCTGGAAAACGTATTCAGATACTTTACTGTAGGCCTACTCAATTTTAAGTAAACGTACTTCATCGAGAATGGCACTTAAGTAAAAGTATTCAAGTACGATTAGGATAATGTACTAAAAGTAAAAGTACTCATTGCAGGAAAACAAACAATAGGCTATTGAAATATTTTAAAGCAAAAGCAGCAAATCTTGACATTTAAGAAGCTCAAAGTGCTTTGCTGCTGAAATATAATTTTGGATAGTTTAATCTATTATAATAAATAATAATATTTTACAAGTTCTTTGTATTGTGTGTCAAAATCTGAATGTATAAGGTAATTAGTAAATACATCTGTGAAATAATTGTAGTTAAGTAAAATGTACAAAATTAGCTTCCAAAATGCAGTAGAGCCAAAGTATTAAGCAGTAAAAATACCCGGGTAAAGTACAAGTGCCTCAAATGTGTACAGTACTTTAGTAAATTCATAGTTACTTTCCACCACTGCTCAGTTCACAGTGTAAAACAAACTTGGCAGCCTTTGAGACACTTCTCCCCCTGAGAAAGAATAGATTTATTAACAAGAGGTAATCAGGAAAGAATACACTTTTATACAAAACTGGAAATACTACTCAAGCTGTTGAAATAGACTGAAAGATCATTCTCATACCACTGGGTATTGCTCACTGCAAACATTGGATGTGCCTGTTAGAGGGTAAAGATTCATGTGCAAGGGTGGGGTTTCAATACAGTACACAAACTGTCCTAGATATAGATTTCATTTGAACACGTGAAAGTGGTACATGCCTGCCACTTAAGCTTTAGGTGTTTTTCTATACAAAGCCTGTAAAAAATACCTATAAATATTCCAAGAATAAGCACAATATAACTATAGTTCCTGCTAACACATAGACAGGATACAGAATGTGTTACACTTATAAGTTGTTTTCAACATTTGCTTTAAAGTATCATACACAGGAAAGTTATTACAGAGTTGAACAATCATAAGGATAACACATTTCGAGGGATATGTTTTTTTAACACATTGCACGTTAGGAAATGCATCAGACTGCCTGTACACAATATTGTACACAGCAAATATTTCTGCTTCATTGGAAAATCGTAGAACAAAATAGTTTACATACTTTTGTGTATATAATCTATTTCATGATTAAGGCAAAACTATAATGCACTGGCCAAAGAGGATTAACTGTAAACACTACTGTCTGAGTGTAGAAGCTGGGAATTTAACTTCCTGAAGTGGCTCAATATTACATCTGCTACATACTCTGCCCGGTGCTTATGCTGTATATACATCATGTTGCCCACCAGGGGAATAAGGTGATAATAAGCAAAGCATAAAAACCCATCTCTCCACACTGAAAACATGTTCTAGCTCAATCAGAAATTAGCAGGTATTCTTGTCGCAGTCTGACTTAAAAATCTCTTGTCTTTATCTTTCTGTGGCTACATAAAACATAAAAGCACACGAGTCAACTTCCGCCACCACAGCAGTCCCCCTTTATTTGTCTCAGAGGAAAAGTTCTTAAAGCGTCGTTATTTAAAGTCTTTAAAATTGGAATCCTTAGGTTTCTTTTTTTATCAATCCAGAGTTGTATAATATTTATGATTATCATTCTTTCTGAAATTGGCATGGCACTTACTGGATTTACATTCAGTAATAAGATAGTTTTCAGGTTTGGTGGTGCAATCCGTCATCTCTGTTTCAAATCGCCCAGGACTGAAATCGTAAGGATTACACAACTTTTATGTAATTGTAATGTAGCAAGTGGATTGGCAGATATTTGTATTATTATTAAAATGGCACTTGAGGAAAAGCAATATGTTTGTATGGGGACTTGTTTAAAGACAACTGCACTTATGTTTCTCTCTTTGACTTTGACACCTGAGCAAAATTGGGAGTTGATCATCATGTGTCAAATGTGACCATCATCTCTCATAAACGAGACAATAGGATATGACTAAATATATTTTCTGTATATACTCTCATCTGTTTATTCTGTGGTTGAAAATTAATGTATCATAAAATGGTTTTCAAGACAAGAAATAACATAAATACTCTGTAACTATAAATAAAACCTCTCTGGGCTTCTACTCAGTCTCTAATAACGATTATACACAACAAGTCCATTGGGGAGCACATACTAGAAGGGCACAGCCTACTGTGTCTAATACAAATAATAGTTTATGTACATTATGATATATTGTTCCTGTACACTTCACTACACTGGCTGCATCACCGCCTGGTACTGCATTGGCACTGCCTTTATCTGTAAAGCATCAAAGAGGGTGATGAAAACTGCTCAGCACATCACGAGGATATAGATGCCACCCATGGAGGAAGTCGACACCCAGCGGTGCAGGAAGAAGGCCAACAGGATTATCAGAGACCCCAACCCACCCAGTCCCCCACCCTGAAGATAAGGATCAGTTTCATCCAACAGCCTTTTTGAACTCTTGAGCTCATTACTACTCTCAATTTACCTTTTATATACTTTTATTTAGTTTATTCATGTTGAATTGTGTTGTATTGTAACTTCTGCGACTTATTATACGTCTTAAAATCCCATTATTCTAAAATTCTCATTGCGAATATAGAGTTATAATATGTTCTTTGCCAATGTCTCTGTAATTGTTGTGCATATCATAATAACTTAAATGTGATCCATAGGAGGGGTGGGGGTGTGCGATCCTCTTCATGTTGAAGTTTTGGGCTCGATTCTTAGAGATGCGTCATACAGGCTCTCCTCATCCAGTGTCGTACTGCTGTCCAGCAGGTACTTTGCAACCTAAAGTAATAATAATTACAGCAAAAACTTAAATTAGAGTCCAAAGATGCCAAACATATCGGGGAATCAACAGAGATGCAAGCTGAACACTCTTAAAATGCATTCCAACTCAAATATTATGAATGTGATCAATATAACTTAGCAGACATTATTATTCTTCATCAAAGACAATCACTAGTATTCAAAGATATACATATACATGAAACCACTTTACTAGCATTACATTGAAAAAGTTTTAATACATTTGCTGATTTTAGAAATCGATTAAACTGGAGCTGGCCACAATATGGAGTTCTGAAAGGTACTAACTAAAATAGACTATCAGTCAAATAAAAATATATTGAAATTGACATCAAATAATGTCTCCGAACACACAATCAAAACCTGAAAAATAATAAAATACACAATGAACAGATACAGACAAAATTAACCTCACCTTTGGTTGATAATCAATCTTGTAAGCCGTTTGCTGAAATTGCCGTATTTCTCTGATAATGTGAGATATCTGGAGACAATGAAATAAAACAATATAAGACAGATAAAATATAAAGTGCGTGTTATTGTGTGTACTTCAGCACATTGGTGTTCCTTACCATTCTCATCTTGGAGAAGTTAACCAGGCTGTCCTCGGTGTAGTTGGGTGTTCCCTCCTCGATGAAGGCCAGGTCGGTCAGGTACATTCCCAGGTAGGGAACACAGGGAGGGTCGCAGCTGAGGACAAGGACAGGGCAGATAAAGCGATAAAGTACACAAAGGCTAAGAGGAATAAAACTGTGAGCAATTAAAAGCTTTACTTCTTCAGAGCTTCTCTCAGGTTTTTGAATCGTCCCTCTGATGACACCAGCTTCTGTAACTTGTCGATCACGGTCTTCGTCTAGAAAATCAAAGAAAAACTCTTATAACCAGGAGTCAAAAAAGTATTTGAAATCTTCCTAAACGTGTATTCATGTTTTAAGAACTAAGGACAATGCTATTCAAAAGTGTGCCTCTCTATGAGCATGTTGTCTTCAATTCATTTAGTTTCACCTGCAATATGCCCTGTTTTTATTTTTGCAATTACACTAATTCAAATTATTTTCAAGAGTTGGATAATTTGGTGGATACAATTCAAGTGCGCATACTAAATATGAAACCAAAGCAGGGGTATTTTAGTGTAGTTTAGCTTATCTCAGCTCACCTATGCTCAGTTAAGCTAAGTTCACTGCCCCCTATTGATCCTCTAATTATACACTAAGCAAAATAAGCAAAAATGTATCCCGAATTGGCAAACTATTTCTTTAGGTCCAGCTGAACTTTAATGATGCTTTTGCCTCTCTATGAGCATGTTGTCTTCCATTCATTTTGTTTCCCCTGCAATATGCTCTGTTTCATTTTTCAGGTTCAACATTTATGGTATTACACCATTCACATTATTTTCAAGAGTTGGATAATTGGATGGATACAAATGTAAGTGTGCATACTAAATAGGAAACCAAAGCCAGGGCTAGTTTAGCTTAGCTTATTTTAGCTGAGCTTAGCGGTATTGATCCTCTAATTTAACACTAGGCAAAATAGCAAATAGGCTGTTATCCCGAATTGGCAAACTATTATTTTAGGCCCAGCTGAACTTTAATGATAAAACGAGCAAACCTGAAAATAGTTCACTCAGTTAACCTCACTACAGGAAGTTATTTTAAGAAATGTTTTATACCTGCTTGGAGACTTTGAGCCAGGTCTTCTTGAGGCGGAAGACGGAGCTGCGGTTTAGGGAGGATGTGATCTCCAGCATGGCGTTGTAGTTGTGGAGGCAGCGACAGATGTCTGCCACTGCGACCCATTTCTCGATCACCGCCGCTCTCAGGTTGACATCGTCCCACTGCAGGATCTCGGTCGCGATCTTGTTGCTGATCTGACAAAAGAAGAGAAGTACATGGTGATAAAAATGTCTCTCTGTCTGTCTAGAATACACATTATAGAAATGTTTTGTTTACAATACCAGGGTAAACACATACATCATTGAAATGCTTGGTAGTTTTCATAATGTAGGGAGTTCTCTCGTTCTTGTCGTTCTTCATCCAGCCTTGACCAAAGAACTCCCTGAAGAAATACAAATATTTTTAAATAAACAACAAATAAAAACATACCAACATTCACTGTGTGTGTTTCCCACCTCCCAATCAGCCTTTTTCCTTTTTAGCGTATAGTGCTTCTGTTCATGGCTTTGCATGCTTGCGTGTGTGTACTCACTCGTATGGGATGACCTTGAAGACCAGGTGGTCCAGCAGTGTGAGTTGCTCAGCTATCTCCAGGGCCGAGTGGCTCTCAAAAGGCTCAGTTTTACAGTCCTCCTGTGCCTGAGACACAGACACAAACACACAAAGGGAAGATAAGTGTCACAGCTAAAGCTCAAAGCATTTCTACAGGACGCTGGTAATTTAAAAAGTAGAAAGTTGTTTTTATACCAGAACATTTTTTGCTTTCTCTCACCATCTGTGTGATCTCTTCCAGTGTGACCTGGTTATCTCCTGGATCCTCCTGAGTGAGAGTCCTACATACAAAAAGAGAAACGGCCATTATTGATAGTTGCCATTGACTTCTTGTGTATGTCCCATCAGGACTCAGATAGGGCCTGACCTATAATCTACTGTCTTCCTTTCATGGTATCAGAAATATGCAGAAAACCAAAACACATGTGTCATTTATAATTGTATGTGCGGTCACAGATAAAACCAGAAAACTCACCTGATGATGTTGGCAGCTGCCTTTCTTTCCTGTGTGAGGAGCTCTGGGTCGTGGATCACCTCCTCCAGGAAGCTGATTACCCGCGTCTTCAGCTCTGTGTTCAGCTCAAAGTCCTGAGGACCAGCAAAGACGCAAAGGTTAATACAGAACAGTGTGGGAAGAAGTACTCATATCTTTAACTCAAGTAAAAATAGCAATATAAATACGTTGTTACAATTAAAAGTCCTGTTTTGAAGAGCTTAGTTATGTAAAAGTACAACAGAATTAACATCACGTATACTTAACTTAACTGGTGATGCAATGATGTTAGCATTTCTAAATTTGCAGAAGGTAAAGGTAGGCCTACATTTTGCCTTTAATTAACTGCTGTGTAGAATAATCAATAATATGTCATAGTATTATTTCATAACTTATTTTGTATTGATAATATGAATCTGCAAAGTAACTAGATAGTAGGATTACATTTAAATATTGAAGTAAAGCTACCCAAAATAAAAAATAATTACAGTACCTAAATGTACTTAGTGTTACTCTAGTATTCAAGAGTCGTTTTTCCTTCTACAAAGTCCTATAGATGGAAACAAAGAAAAACTCAAATGAAAGATGGAAAGGTGAACTGCACCTGCGAGTGTTTGGAGACCCAGTGACGCAGAACGTTCAGCACTCTGTTAGTGGCCGCTCTTCTGATAACAAACTCTTTGTCTCCATTCCTCTGGTCTGTAGGAAAACCTGGAAGCAGAAAGTTAAATTGTTCATAAACTAAATTCCCACTAGAATAATCAGCTGTGTGATATACTCCAATTAATTTTGCCTTTAAGGTTTTAAGGTTATTTTTCTTCCAGATACAGAAAATCCAGTTTATTTGAATATTGTAACTGGTCAAAGATTATTTGAACATAAATGATGCATCTATATAAAGAGTCATACTTGTATTCCTTTAATTTCCCCAGACTTAATTCATGTAAAGCAGGGTTCTTTAATGGTACAGTACTATACTGTGATACTGGTCCATTATGAAAACTTGACATTAAACTGACATACAGGACTTTTAAACTAGGCAGTGTTTTCCTAATGGTAAAACAATCATCTACAGCTAATTCACAGAAAGAGAGGACACACATTGACTTAAAAATACTTTTTTTTTTTAAATACAAGACCACATTTAAAGACCGTTCAATTGAAAATGTATATCCTGTTTAAATGGTGGCATAAAATGAACAGGAAACTTTTGATTTTGTATTTGTTTGGACGCCCCCTAGTGGTCATCATTCATAACACAGCTAAATTGTTTCTGTAATGGCTAAATAATCCACTCAGAAATGAACTGTTTTTAAATTCATCTGTTATATAACCAAGTCGTTTTTTGTGGTGGTATAATGGACTCGAGGGACTGTTTCTGTATCAAATTAGTCCTCAACAACCCTTTTTATTTGTCAACAGAAGTAGCATCCTCTCATGTGACTGACCTGTGCTGGCGAGCGACATCCGACGGTACTTCTCCTTGGTTGGCGTGCCCTCGTTGGCACCAGCGGTGGCGATGGCGAAGGCCGAGGCGGCAGAAAGGGCACTGCGGTTATTGTCCAGCTCCCGGCAAGATGACACCACCATGCCATTGTTGAAGGAAAACAGGGAAAACTCTACAAAAAGGGAAACAAAACAGAGATACTTTAGATTAAAACTATAAAATAAGAGACCTTACCTACCCACCTGTTCAACACTGCATTCAACCATTAACCATCCCGCCCCCCTCTTTTCTGTTTTTTGTTTTATTCTCTGTCAAAGCGTCTTTTAGTTTTTAGAAAAGCGCTATATAAGTGTCATGTATTATTATTATTACTCTTGAGTGTTATCATCAAAAGGTAAAAAGGATACTTGCAGGAACAATACTTTATTTTTTCTGCAAAAACACCAATATTAAAACCCTTTCAGTTACATTACTAAGCCTCTGACAGGATTAGGCTGAGATGGAAATTAAGGGTGGCTCAAAGGTTAAGTGATTAAAGGTGGTATAATTCCTTGCACTGGATATACTTTTTGTGTATAATCAAACTCAGTTGTTGTCCAGCGGAGGGCAACAGAGAGCTAAAACAGACAGAGTGTCCTGCAGCTCGTGGCAGTGATGCTGTACACCGTGTCTGCCTCCCTCCTTCACTCCCTCCCTTCCTCCCTTCCTCCGTTAAGCCGGGGGCGGTATAGAAGAACATGCACATCGTTGCTAAGGTACAAGGTTTCCTTCCACCTACTCACACAAGGCACTGGCTTCCCTTGTATCCAGAACCGTGGGAAGAGAACACACTGGGGATGAATTGTGCCTGACTACCTACGGGGTGGATGCTCCCTCTCTGTGCGGTACGGGGAGGGCCACGAAGCTGTGGGTGGTTTTTATCAAGAAGACCTTATTTGGCTGTAGTTACGCTTGTCATTTCTGAAAAAAAAGTTTGCTATACAGTCAACTGCAGCAGGCTTTATTTAACTCTATGATTTACTCTCCTTATCTCAAGCTCTTTACACTTCTCACATGCACACACTGAATATGCTGGATGCTAAAAATGTATGGTAGAAATCCCCTTACTGTATGTTATGACACCGACTGAAAACGTGATAAGGACCTAGAATTTACTATTCTGAGACAGCTGCCAGTTTCCCCTGCTTTGTTGACATCTTTGAGATGAATTCAAAATATAAAATGTACCTTGTCAACATTGGCTGATATAAAGGTTTGCGACCCAAAGAAATGCTAAAGTTTCATTTTGTTACCCCCTTATGTCTACAGTAAGTGCCCCAGGAGCCGGTAAGCTTATTTTAGCACAAAGACAAGCAACATGCGACATCAGCTAGCTTGCCAATGTCCAACTGTGGCAACATGTATTCATTTATTAGCTAAAGGTTTTGGTTTTATTGGTAACGGTAGATCTGTAAGCTTTAGATATACCGGTAGGTGGATTTTATTAACTTTGTACAGTGTCATGTAAGCTGTTTCACCCCGTTTCCAGCTTTTATGCTAAGCTAAGCTAACCAACAGTTGGCATAAGTCAAACTATTGCTTTATTGTGTTGTGGCAAAGACACTGCCATTTTTTAAACAGTGAGGAAAAACCCTGCCTAACTTGCATATAAATACCAATTGGTGTTTCTTCTGCCACAGGTCTTGTTGGTGTAGTTCCAATAGCGCTTTATTAAATGATTTTCGGTTTAACTGCTCATTTTACTGCTGCCCATTATCTGGTTAAATCAAGTAATCTTGCAGTTGAAATTCTTCATTCAAGTGCCCGTAGAGAATGTAACATCATAAAAGCCTGCCTGTTAAATGTGCTTCATGTTACTAATGGTTCTTGTTATTGACATGATCTATTATTATTCATTTTATTTTGTCATATTATCATCCGCCAAGACACTCCACTGGCAAGTACTCTTTGTCAACAGCACTAAGCGCTTGTCGTTTGCCAGCTCTTTTATTCTTGCCAAGTTACTTATGATTCTTGCCAACACATTTGTTTTTTAACTGTTGGGTTGGGATTCAAAAGTGTATCACAAGACGTCCGTAAAGGGTCTTGGGTTTAGAACTCCCTAAACAGAAAACAACGGTCACAACACAACGGTGGGAAATTAAAGTCCTACTGCACCAGAGTTTTTTGACTTGACATTCTTGGGTGTCGATGGTGATTTGGGAGGAGACATCTCCGCCTCTGTTTCCTCACTCTGACTTGGGTCCTCATTACATTCCTCTCTCACAGACAGATCTGCACAAAAACAAGGAGTTTGACAATCAAGAATTACAAAAAGGCAGCAAAGAAGAAGAAGATTTGGGCTTTCTGGGAGATTAGACAGAAATGAAAGCTTCCAGGCTCATGAAGTCTGAAAGTAGCGCGCATTTTCAATATCTTTACAGTCAATGATTATGGCAGTTTTAATATCATTGTCATTAGTACATTTCAATATATGCCCACTTATATGTACTGCTGCCTTTTGCCTTTTCAATCTCAAAGATACTGCTTAAAAAAGGTGATTACTTTTCACTTAAGACCACTTTTGTATTCAGAATATATATTAGTAACGTTAACCTTAAAGGGAGAGTTGGTAAAGTTGCTCTTGCATGACTGGAAGAGACTTACAAGATATTATTATGAAAATGGGTTTGTAGAAATGCTACCACACTACACACATGGACTGTAATTCTGACCTTGCTTGTTGAGGACGGTCTCCTCAGCCTTGCCTTCAGCTTTGGTCTCTCCCTCATCGGGGATTTTGCTGGCCTTGGTGCTGGACACGTAAAGCTTGTTGATGTCAAGGGTGGTCTTGCTGAAAGGTGACATGGTGGAGTGCATGCTTGCATAGCCATTGGGAGAACAGTTGAGAGCAGCCAGGTCCAGGGCTTTGCCCCCCGTGATGATGGGGATGTTGAGCGAAAGCTTGCGTCGGCGGTTTGGCGAGGACGTCTTGGTGATGGCGAGGGGGGGAGGGGAGGAGAACTTGCGGCTGGCACGCGGCGACGTGGGTGGCTCGCCGTACAGGAGTTTGTTGCTCTGGCTGCTGGCAAAGAAAAGCTCCAAAGAACTGCAGGAAATGAGAGAATGAAAGAGAAGGGAAACACAGACGCATGAGTATCTTTCACTACATCACTTTTGGGATTATGGGTAATTATTCCCAGTGACCTGGATAGGAGAAAGCACAAGGGATAAAGGTTGATAACGGGGGTGCATGGTGCATTTGGTGTCGGTACACAGGAGCAGAGAAGGCAACACATTAACCACAGGGCTCTTCGGGAGCTCCTGCCTCTTTTATTTAAGCTACATTGTTTAAGACAGCATCCTCCTTGCACTGAGAGCCACCCCCTCTGAAGGCCTATAAATAGCATGTCAAGTGACAGTGTGGGAGGCACGGGTGCTGCCAACAGCAACCAGCCCAGGGGAGGCCCACAGAGACATGGGGAGAGAGAGGCAGAGAGAAAAGGGGTGAGAGAGAAAGAGAGAGAGTGAAAGTGGGAGAAAGAAAGAGAGGTGCATTGCAAAAGAAAAAAAGGAAAAACAGATAAACTGCGAGGGAGGGGGCGAGAGAGGAGCAACATAGTGGATATGGATTCCACCAGAGCGAAGGCTGCTGGCTGAGAGTGGGCGAATGGGAAGCCTCCAGCCCTGTGTGGTGTTAGCTGCAGCCATGTTGTGTCTCCTCGCCTAAATTTGCAAAACAGTTTAAGAAGGGAGTTGAGAATGGGAACGATGGGAATGAAAGAGGCTGGGAGGATAGAGGAAAGGAGAGGCAAAGCACAAAAAGCAAAAAGTGGAGAGTCAAGAGAGGACACAAGTAAAACAGAGGAGGAAATGAACCAGGGGGAGACACAAAAAGAAGGGAGAAGAAGAGGAGAGGAGAGCAGGGTCTGGGTGCAAAACACCACCATCAATATTTAATACCGTAGAGTCGCTGCAGATGATGGGAGAAAGGGAGAGAGGGAGGGAGGCAGGAGAAAGACGAGGAGAGAGGGAGAGGGTGGGGTCCTGCAGCAGAGTGAAGGGTTGCCATGGTGACAGCGCAGCGGAGAGAAGAATGGTCAGACTCGTGGAAAGAAAAAGAAAAGTGAGAGAACGGAAAAGGGTAAAAGAGAGGAAGGAGAGAGAGGGAGAAGAGGAAGGGGGGGGGAGGTGAGGGAGAGGTGGGTGGATGCAGGACCCAATTAACTGTGATGGTGGACAGAAGACAGAGGAGTGGATCTGATGGTGTGACCTCTCGCTGCCTCTCCTCCAGTCCCTTCTCACCTGGACAGCGTATGATGGGCTGCTTACAGACAGTCCACGTGAGAGCAAAGACAAACCCAGACACCGGGGGAGTCCCACCTTTTCACTGCACCATTACAGAGCTGTTGCTGCATCCTCAGGAGGAAGATATGTGGGAAATTCAAACTTTTTTCCGTTGTCACAAGCTGCATGGATTGGCCACGCAGTGCATTGCTCTGAGGAGTTTAATGTAACAATTTATTTGAGCTCCCCTGTTTAAAAAACGTAATGAACAGAGACTCAAAGTAACTTAATCACAGTTGCAAACCTTGCGAGGTGGGCCATGTAGATACATGTATTTAGTTTCTGCTGGTAAGGACACTTTGATGTGATTGGTTGAAGTTGTCTTTCATTGCAAATCAGCACATTACTAGTTGTTGAAATTTGCTACACAAATAAGCTTCTGTGGCAACTTTTATATATCAAATCATGTGGGTTCGGTTGTATTTATTCAACCCTGCAGCTCAGCTAGTTGGTTTACTGTTACAGGTCAAAGATACCAAGTTACAGCCATGTGAAAAGGGGTAACAGGGCATGTTTTCCAAACTGTGTCTGAGGAGAGGTCTACAGTGTCAAAACATATTTTTATTCTGGATCAAGGCGGTGGACCAACTTACAAAGCAACTAGCGTGGCTTAAAGAGTCACACGTCTTGGTTTGGATTGCAGAACTTTTTAATACCTGACGAATGCTGCTTTTCGATATATAACCTTGCTTAGTAGCAGTGTCAAAGGTAAAGTTGAAGGCATTTTGATGAGCTAGAGCTAAAGACTTTCCCAAGATTCTACATACAATTTAAATGACTACACAATGAGTAAGCAGAACAAGCAATACAATGTTTGGTTACAACTGCATAGGGGCCATCTTCAACTTGTTCTGTTAGCCTGCAATTTAACTATGGATTAGTTCATACGAGTGTGTTCATAGAATCCCTAATCAAACCTCTTGAAGTCTTCCCTCTCGGGGGATCACTCACCGTGCGGGGATGGCGCTGATGGGCTTCTTGTAGATGGTGATGAGCTTCTCCAGCACCACGTCAGCGCTGGTGAAGACGCGGTACGAGTGGAGGAAGGTGTTCAGGAAGTCGATGGAGAGGAAGCGCAGGTCGGTGAGCCTCTCCAACAATCGTTCCACGCTGGCATAGCGGATCTGCAGCACCTTGCAGGAGTTCATCATCTTGCTGAAGCGGATGTCCACATCGTCGCAGTACAAGCTGGTGTCCGACCTGCGTTAGGATTTAAACTGAGGTTAGGAATGTGACTCACAGGGATTTAGCTTCTAGTACTTATGCAGCACAACTCCAGTTTGTACACTTTTCTGGTCACATGTGGGCCAGTGGGGAGAGCATTAACATTGCTTTGGGTTGGATTCCCCCACTGGAAAAGAACACTTATATAGCCTACTTACAAAATTAAGGGCTATTTTAAAATCTATGCTATTACAAGAAAATACTTATTATGTTACTTTACATTACATTATGCAACATTACGTGCATTTTGAAGCTGTGTGACAATGTGCGGACGAGCAAGAGGATTGGCGCCAAAGGCTGATAATACAAAAATAAACATAACTCAAGAGTATAGAGTGAAGAGATATTTTGTATTTGTTTCTAGATGTTGAGAAACAACATCACAATAAGTACCAGTGTTCTATTGCATACTTCAAAGAGTTAAGGGTCATATCAAGTTGAGGGTCTACCTGTAGTTCAAGGTTCAAGGTTCTTTATTTGTCAAACGTACATAGCTACAGTGTAGTTATGTCGATGAAAATCTTGTGTCACAGGCTTCTCCAACAGTGCAACACAAAACACAGATAAACAGACAAATATAGTGCAAGTAAATAGTAAATACAAGAAGAAAAATAGTTTAAAAAAGTGAAATAGTGCAATAAGAGTCTATATGCAAGTCATTGAAATATGATATATTAGGTAAATAGATACATCATTTTTAAGTAGCAGCCAGATGAATATTGTGGATGTTGTTTCAAAGTTCAGATGTTTAACAGTCTTCTGGCCTGTGGGATGAAACTGTCCCTGAGTCTGGTGGTTTTAGTCCGGATGCTGCGGTACCGCCTGCCAGACGGCAGCAGACAGAACAGTTTGTGGCTGGGGGTGATGGGGGTCTTAGTTGTACTCTTTACTGCTAAAGCATGGGGAATATGTTATGTCACTGAGGGTTCTCACGTATAGATGTACAAATTGCATAAGTTTGGGCACACATGTTCATGCATTTTTCATGAATTTGTCATGTATTTATGCAATGCCAATCTCTCGGTTTGTGCTTGTATAATGTATGTGCATTTTCTGCAAGGTGTCAGACTCTTACTTAATCATCTGAGGCACGGTGACTTTACTGTTTTCCTCGAAGGCGTTCATCATCAGACCGTTGCAGCGGATGTTGTCAATGCACTGCGAGGTAACAAGACAGACAGAGACAAAATGAACATTGTTAGTGAGTTCACAAAGCTCTGGACAATACAGGTTTCCACCAAGTCTTTAAAAGTTGTTTATTCTAATCTTACTTATAATTACACTCTGTCCTGAAATCTCTATAAAGAGGTTGTGTCAGATGTTTGCAGCCTACAGTCTTATAGAGTTTTCCTTGTCTAATGATACTTAAGTCAAACAGGCACTTTACTATTATGCTGTGTGTTTGTTTGGAACATATTCAGTCCTAAATCCCACAGGTGAGGAGGAGGAGTACCTGGCAGATGTCGCTCGTCCACGCTGACTTCTCCTGTCGGGATGAAGCCACCAGGATGACGGTGTAAGGCTGGACGTCTTTGGGCTCCACCATCACTTTGAAGTCCAGGTTCTCTGTGTCCATACCACTCCGCTCCACTTTGGCTGCAAGGCACACATTAAAAAACCTTTATTTCACTTTGACACGTCAAATTTAAACATAGTGAAAATATGCCATGTAAGAAGAAAGAGGGGGAAAACAGAAATGACAAAATATGATAACAAATATATATATTTTGGCAAAGTGTAAAGGAAGGGCGAAGATTATATTTTAAATTCTATTTGTATGTGTCCTTTACTATTAAATGTCTGAAAGACCCTGGAAGTTAAGAAAAAAACTGAACATTTTGCGCTAGTGAGTGATTTTTGTAATCTCAAAAAAATACACATTTTCTACTAATTCCCAGATCAGTAATATGGTCAATCATTTAAAAAAAGTGCATATATTAAGTGTAAGAATCATGAATAGTGAGGATTTTTTTTAATGGGATACATATTGCTAAATTCATCTAAATGCAGCTTCAGAAATGTGTTTTTCTTATGCAGCCCCTTATTTAGAAAGAGGAGCATGAAAGCACATCACTTTTATTCCCAAAGATTTATCGAGGTTTCCTTAAATCGCATGCACCTACGGTAACATCGATTCAACTGGTCACCAATTAAGTTTGTGATTGGTTTGGTTCAATTTGATGGTGCTGCCTGTGAGTCAAAGAACAATATATTTGTATACAAAATAGTTTACAGTTCTCTTTGAAGAGTCATGTTAACAGGATTATTAGGGAGGATTGTCAGTCTTTGAATCCAAGGAGTTCAATGAAACTAATAGCTCAGAAAGATATTGCAACACGTTATCTGAGTCACGGTAACATTAGGGAAATACTTTTCCTACATAGTGCAGTTACATTTTCCGTATTTTCTAAAGCTCGCCAAGACAAAACTGCATATATTGATGCTTCAACTACTACATTACATTTAAACTTATATACAAAAGTTTAGTTTTCATGGTAACTTACTTTCATCATCCGTCCCCTCCGGCTCCTCCATCAGTGTGCAGTCTATGAGAGAGGAAACTCCATTCTGAGACAGGGTTCAAAGGTCACATGCAGTCTGTTACCAGCTGATAGACAGAAGAGGCTTCTGTGTATTTCAAATCTATACAAACACGGCTGAAACAGGTACGGACTTTACTAATATCTCCACCAAGGCCATTAAAACTAAACTTGATTATACTGTATGTGAATAAAGCATTTTCTGGAGGAAAAAGATAGACTAAATGATTATTATTATTATCTGTGTTTGTATTATATTATAATATAATAATCAATTCACATAACATGTCTGCTTTTTAAAAGTTTTTTATTAATATTTTACTTAAATTGTGTGTAATAGGTGAAGGGTGAATGCTAGATAACATTGGGAAAATGTTAGGCTTTGACAACCTTCTTATTTCCAAAGTCTCACCCCTCAATCATGGAAACTGTATTTCCAAACACCCAAATTGCTTGTATTAGCTCTTACAAGTTCAAAGAGGTTTGATGTGTTTTACAGGAGAATTTAAGAAAAGGTTTGCATCATTTTATTGTTTTTTGATTTTTAAGAATCAGTAGATTTAGATCTGAGCCTACCTTAGTGATGTGAAGTTTCCCCCCGGAGCCGCGGGTACAGATGATGAGATGTTTGGAGAAGAGGAAACATTGTCTCTCTCCTTCTTTCTTCAGAGACAGAGAGCCCAGGCGGCCTCTCGTGATCTTCCCTTTCTCGCTCATCGGCACCTGGATCAGGGAACCTGTGGAGTGTCAGTATCACACAGGAAAACATATGAAATTTGATTTTAACCTTGATCTTATTATCAGTGTCTAACCTTCAAAACCCTAATTAGGAAATACTATGAGACAGCCTCAGCTATTTTTGTACATAATTTGTCTTTGATGCATTTGCTGGGCATACAGTTCAGTAAAGTAAAAAATCAGTGTTCATATTTTGTCTCACTTACCTTGTCTAACAAATGTCTGACTGGTGTCCAGGAGCACTTCACAGCCCTCTACAATCATCCGCTCAATAGCCAGGTTCTTCCTGATGTTCTCCGTCTCGCTCACCTCGTCATGCATGATTCTGAAGGAACAGAATTAAACAGGTTTTTCACATTTTAAGTTGTTTGGGATTGAAAATGGAGTATCCTTCCCTAAAATCACTGTACAAATGTGATTGTAATTCCTGTATCCATTCAATCCTAATGTATTTTTTAGTTGCTTGGTTATCAGACGGTCAGTAGATCTACCTGGAGAGTTCCTCCAGTTTAGATTTAGCGTAGTCCAGACTGTTTCTCTCCACGTGCTCATGGGGGGTGTGAGCCAGTAGCTCGTGCAGCGTCAGGATGTAACGAGGGATCTGAGAAAGAGTGAAAGAGAGCATATCTTTAAAATGCACATTTCAAACTTTGAAAGGTCAAGTGATTTTTTTCAAACTTTAAAAAAAGCAGTGCCAAGCACCTGAAGGGTTTCAACAGGTAATTAGTTGGCCATGAAGCCCTTGTTGTGCAAAAGTGCTACAACACTTTGCTCGTCATCTCATTACTGATCAAGAAACACGGATACGTTTTCCATGATGGCATCTCACAATGGTCACATTTGAAAAAGGTATAATTATTTACTTTCACACAAATAATACACTGATTGCCTAATGGAGGCCTGGGAGGCTGACACCGGGCATGGAGGTCAGGCGTTTGTCAGGAAAGGTGTGTTTGTATTATTATTGCGTATTTGTGCTTGTTATACTTAAATGCAATCTTCCAGAAATCGTCGTTCTTTAGACCACACCAGAAGGATAAAAACTGTCAACGAGCATGTATGTTTTAAAGAGCATAAGTGCAGCAGCATAAGTATACAACAATGCAAAAAAATAAAACAAATTGGCCAAATGAGGCTCTGTTATAAAGATCAAACTCCAAAGTGATATATCCAAAAACACTGACGTTGACAAAACATGTGCAATTTTCAAAAAAGGAACTGTGATGGAATTGAGAAATGTGAAAAATGTGGGTTGTAGCATAAGATTACTCTAAATACTATCAAGAATCTTGACGGGAACTTGGGTAAACTCACAGTGTTGTGCGAGCACTTTCTTTTCAAAAGGGAGTAAGGAGTAATGCACTAAACACGTGCCACAGAATACTTTATGAAACTGTGTGTGGAATAATCCTGAAGATATCCACACCGTAGCTCTGAACTCCTACCTGAAACATGGGGTAAGTGAGAAAGGTCTCCAGCGTCCTCTCCTCACAGTCGGGCTTGGCCTCGTACTGCTTCAGCAGCTTGTCAAAATCTCGGTTCTGTTTGCAGTGGGCCAGGATCTGCAGGCTGTACTGGTGGTTCCTCACAAACTCCTGGTAGATGTTCAGCATGGGCAGCAAGATGTCGAACAGGTCAGCTGCAAAGAGATACAGAACACTTCTTGAATGCATAAAATATCGGATCATTCTCCATGAAAAGAGTCAGTAGCTCTAATTGTTGACATGTGTTTAGGTACTAATCTGAGCTATAACTAAATTGTATTTTGAACAATGAAACACATGCTGTTCATAGGTATAAAACAATTCTGACTTATGTTGTGTGAATCCTGTGAGAAACGAGGAAATTGTCTCTTAAGAAATGCGTGAATACTTTAAGTGCTACCAGCCATGCTCCATTATACTGGATTGATGAAAAAAGGGTAAATATCTAAAAGAGAACTGCGTACTGCTCTAAAGGAATCCAGACAACAAAGAAGCATAATGTTAGACTGCATCTGTTATACAGTAAGTGGTTGTCTCTGTGTCTCTTACCCAGCACCAGAGTGGGCCAGCTGGCTATCCGTGCCTTCAGACCCTGGTAGAAGATCTGATGGAGGAACATGATGGTCTCACTAATAAAACACATAATAAACAGTCGTCAGCAGCTGTTTTTTCTCCCTTGTTTCACAACTTTTGGCTTCTCTCCAGCGCCTGATCACACCACATTCTCAACCAGTCTCCCCCCACCACCAGCCACCTGTTAAGGAAGATGCTGCTGACATCGTCGTGGGTGATGGGCGGCTTCTTGGAGCTGGCGGCCATGCGGAGCGGCCGGAGGAAGTTGTTGACCAGGATGTGGAGTTGCTGGACGTATTCGGCTTCTGCTTCCAGCATGCTAAACACCACCTGGTTCCTTTTCCTCATGCTCTCAGCGTGAGGTGAACGGATGTAGTCCTGGATGATGGTTTTCCACTTCCTGCGGCAAATCCAACCTCGCAGGAAACTCTGGACCTGTGATGAAAACAAGTTAGCAAAAGCTAAGTTACTGTTGTGTGTATGATTATGTGCATGCACTGACACAATCCAGTGGGTTTTTGAAGAGTTTTCTCAGTTGTAACTTTGGGAAAGATTTGAAGATACATCATTTTCACCATGATAGTCTTCTGATGTTACCATGTGAATGAATTAAACATTATTTAATTTAAAATGAACTCAGTATTTCAAGTCACATACTCTAATTTAGTATTTCAATTTTGACTAGCCTATTTATGAAAATGATCATGTTGAAGCATTGTTGAATAGCAATGAGCTGTGTCACTATCCCTCTTCACTGCAACATTCCTGGAGTACATGAACACATCTGGTGAGGAGGAATACACATAAAGTCCGACGCAGATCCTTTTTTTGCAGCTGATGTCTATCATGGTCTGTCACCATGATGAAGACGAGCTAAAAATCTAAAGCTAGCTGTGGTTTGTCGCGTCAATCTAAAGCTGCATTCACATGACAAGCGGCAAAGCGGCAACGCGGCAAAGCGGCAAAGCGGCAAAGCGGCAACGCGGCAAAGCGGCAACGCGGCAAAGCGGCAATGCGGTGCCGGTGTGTTTCTATGGAGTGAATTTATCGCCAAGCTCTGCGCTGAAAGTTCAAATGATTTCAACTTTGACCTCGTTACCGCTGAGCTTTCGACGCGCAACCAATCAGATTACAGCTGGCTGTTTTCACCGTAATGCCCTGCGCCCAACCTGCAACCTGAGAACATCGCGTATCATGTGAATGCAGATTTAGCAGCCAGAAATCCCTATTGTTAGAACTAAAACCAGTATTCGTTTACTTTTTTTGGTAACTTACACCTCAACAAACTGTAACTACAACACATGGTATTACCTTATACAGTGACTATGGAGAACATGCGGGCAAACACGTGTATGTTACACATTTGTAATACATCCTGCAGACATTAGCATGGAGTTCTGCTGACCTGAGAGATGTAAGTCCACTATTTACTCTTATTTAAGCTCTGTCTACCAATTTTCCTTAGAACATTATCTTCTTTAGTTAGTAGAGGTTCAAACAGCTACTTGGCATATTAGTAACTGTGAGTTTGAATACAGCTACCTGCAATAATTGTTGTTGAAAGCATTACAAATGTAAAATCTGTTGGCCGGCAACAACCAAAACACTGAGCTCAAAAACAAAAAAAATGCAATAGAGAGAAGAGGAAAACTAATGTAAGTATTAACACCTAAGCTTTTGCAGGTTTAAAGTACCTGGCTCTCTAAATCTTTCCAAACCTTTCCAAACTCTCCAGCTTTATTAAGGAGCAGGAAGCTGCTTCACTCGAGCTGAGGACAGAATAAGGCTGTGGTGTAGTGGATGAGGAGCTCCCTGCTGTGAACGCCAGAGGAGTGAGCTTCCCTGAATAAATGTAGGTTAAAAATAAATCCTGCAGGTACCCAGAGATGATGTAGTGTTTAAAAACCTGTTTCAGAAACCATAAGTATCCCTGCACAGATTAAAATCCCCCTCCCTTCCTTCCACCTGGCCTTCTTCGTGGCATTACTTTGAAAAAGATTGATTCATTTTCTCCTCCTTGAAAACTGCACAGCACAAAGCAGTGAGATCTCACCTTTTTGATTTTCTTGATCTCCAAGTCATCTTCACTGGGAGGTACCTCTGGATTAGACTGGATCTTTTCATTATCCTTGAGCAGTCCAGCAATCTAAAATCCAACACAAATCAAACATCGCATTGATATTGCAAAGATGAGAGGACTTTACACTGCAGCTATAATCCTACTCGTGATCTCGCTCATGTAACCCACTCAATGCACTCTGTGTTTTATTGACATTATTACGATTCTTTATGTTTTTATTCAGTGTCCATTTTTCATGTTTTTGTAAAACGTTGTTGCTTTCCATTAGCTGGTTTCAAAGAATTCAAATACTAACTAACTAATATTTATCCCTGTTTTATTTAGTCCCATTAGAGTGTATGTGTATGAATAGACCAGATGAAACAGCTTTCAATAAAGGACTAAAATTAAACACAAACAAAGAAAATCCATTACTACATGTTTTGCCATGAAAAGTGAGAGGGTTGATTATTATTTTGTAGTGGAGGCTGCAATATCAGGTACAATAGAAGTTGATTCATGCATATTGAAAACATTCAATTCAATTGGAGCTAGCCATTAGCACATTAAAGGGAGATGCATTTGATCTAGTTTAGACTGAATAATTAGGATACAAAACACTCAACAGTATTGCAGAGGCTATAACAAAACATCCCGGGGGCGCTGGAAAATGCTGCGTTCGTCATGAACACACAACAATATTGTTAAAATCTGGGTTGTGACCTTTGTCCATTCTCCTTTCTGTATTTATACTGTTCCTGACTACTTTCACGTCCATGTTTTATATCTCCTTCTTCCCTGTGTACCATACAGTAACACAAAACACACATGTATTACTAGCATGAAATTACAAGGCAAGTTACCTCCGATTTTAGCCGCTCTATCTCGATTTCCCCATCCTCTATCTGTTGTCGAAGTTGCTTGGCAACCGTTTTCTCCGTCTCCACTATTTGGAGTAGATGGAGATACTTCTGCATGAGGGTCTCATGCTCTGTAGCCAGGTTCCTGTAACTATACAGACACGCACACAGACATTGTAAGGACCTCATTAACGCATGTTTGCAGGCTCTCCATAGATTTATCAAAGCAAAAGCAGACCTCTGATCAGCATATGTTTGAACCACAGACCTCACGTCTCCACCGAGCGCAGGCACTTATGCAACCTTTTCTTCAAATACTTACAGGCTTAGCAAACCATGTGTAAATCCTGCTTCTGCATGAGCTTTAATTCAGAGCATTAACCAGTCCAACAAAGGGTTTTAGTTTAATTTGATCACAAAACAGCTTGTTAAAGCGGAAATGTGCTAAAATAAAGTCTTGGTTGCCTAAAAAAGAAATTCAAAACATGAACTAAAGGCATCTAGAAATCAAAAACCTTTATTAAAGCAATACAATGATATACAAGATCTGCATTGCCCTGCTGTGTGCACATGCCTACAGGCCAACGAACTCCTGTACAGTCAGTGCTGCTGCCTTGGCTGAACGTTAATCAATGTAATCTTCAATAAGTCCAATCAATTGACCTTTCGCCACACAAATGCACACTGCTGACATTTAGAGTGATTCACTTGGCTTGCATGGCCCTCTTTTGTGTCAGTATCTTAAAGGGGCATTTCACTCAAAATTGTACAGTATAGAAGAAAGTTAATGTAGTGTATCGCTGACAAATATGTGAAAAAAATCACACAAAAACACTATTTGGTCCAAGTGGGTGAATCGTTTGACTTTGGTGATTCACTGCTATCTTTCTTAAATCTGAATAAATGATCAAATACCATTACTGTACTTTTAGTTTTTTACCTCGAAGTAAATGTTAGCGTATTTTTGGTTTCTTTGTTGATTTAGTATCTGAGCAGCAGACCAGTGAAATGGCTAACTTCATTTCATTTCATTTCATTTCAATCTTTATTTTCGAACAGATTAAAAAAATAACAAATAAAAAACAACAAATGTGAAAAACAGAATACCGTATTGTTAAAATACAGTATTTATCCACATTCATGATAATATTTATATATTCAACAAAAAAAAGTCTTCATATTAATAATAATAATAAATCATATGTGTCCGAAAGGGAGCAGGAGGAAGCAAATGCTTATTAATTCCCACCCCTTACTTGATCAATGATTGTCCTTTAAATTATTATGCAAGTTATTCCTACTTACATTTACATTTATACATACATATACAATAATTTCTCATCTTCAATCACCTCTCTTCATTCTCATAGTTTTCCCAAAAAGTGTTTCTGTACATCCTTTTAAACTGAATTATGCTTGTGCTTTGTTTTAACTCCTGCTCCAAACAACTTGGGGTCTGCACATGCAATGATACAGACTATCATGTTTTCAAGGTTGTGTAATGAGACAAGAAGTCAAACAAAAAGGACAAGTGTTAACATTAATATTATATTATATTATATTGGTAAACATTATACTTAAACATCATCGTGCTAGCATACTGGTGTTAGCATTTAGGTACAGTCACACAATCGATTCTTTAAAGATTACAATTGATAATATTGATCTCATTTTCAAGTCTAATAAAAATCTAATTTAGTCATCTCTTTTTTGTAGTCTGTAGTTGTAAATGATGACATTGTGTATTGTTAATCTTTTCTATTATTCCGTATAAAGGGGAACAAGTGATTTCCAACCTAATAAGCTCCATAAACCCTTTTATTCTCTACATCACAGGGTACACACACACACACAAACATTCCCACCAAAATCTTTATCTTGCAGAACATCCACAGCTGAGTGTGTGTATGTAGGTGAGAGGTCATGTGTGTGTGAGGTACCTGGCCTGTGTGATGGCTGCCACCCACTCATCACAGTCCTTGACGTCCTCCGAGCGCAGCTCCAAAGACTTCTGGTTGTCATGATTGAACGTGACGGTAAAGTAGTACTGGAAATGGAAATGATAGAAAGAGTCAAATATTTGTTCAACATGTAAATAAGACAATCAGCATATATTACAGCAAAGGGTTTCCGTGATACATGTACAACGTTGGTCTGCAGGAAACCCATCTGAGGGAAAACCTTGCATGATTCGTCACTGACCGGCTTTTCTTAAATCTACATTTTGTTGAATTTAAAGTAGTATGTCTACACACATGCATGCCCATGTGTGTGAATGAGTGGGAGAGAGAGATCCTGAGGGAAAAGTCTTGAAATATTCATTATAAAGCCTCGGTGCATCCTGCCTGTAACCTGGCAACTCACCTCTGAATTGGAGGAAGCCTCTCGTCTGACGCCACGTTTTGTTTTGCTTTGTGCCAGTGATTAAGCTGCGTTTTAGTGACACAAACACCTCTCACCTGTATTTACTCCCTCGCCAATTATCTCCGGCGACCCTACATCCTCAAAGGTTCAGCTATGGCAATTATGGCAAATGCATGTGGGAAATGTTTTCTAATAGGCTTATCAGATAAAATCCTCAAATCAACAAAGATGGTGGTGGTCATTGCAATAATACTAAATCAAGTTATGTAACACTGATGCATTGTAAATAGATCCCCACAAATCCAATATATTGGATTTTTGTATCCCTCCCAAATGCCAAGAGCAAATCGTTTGTGAAGGGGAGTAATGTTCCATATTTCCTTATAAGCAACAGAAATGCGCTTCCAGTTTCTCGCTTCCTCTGAGTGTCAAACCTTATTTTCACCTGTTTGGTAAGTGAGATAACATAGACACATCTATGAACAGAAAGTATTGAATTTCATCTGAAAGTGAAACAAAATTAGCAAATGCTGTAACTAAATGTTTATGATAATGTCTGTCTTCAATAACATTTGCAATTGTATCTCTGAAATACGTTTTGATCCAGTTTTTAAATGTTCACAATGGTAGAATTTTGTTGCATCAGAGCCATTTTTTCTTTTGATTTTGGTAAAAATGGTTTAATTAAGTGAAAGCAATAAAACTAGGACAAAAACAAATCAAGCGTTTCCACGTCGCCCCCCCCCTCTTTACCCGTCACCGTGTCACATTTCCACTAATGCCCATATTTGCTGTACTTGCTAAGTGAGACACAATGCCGAGGCATGTTGTTGGACATTTCGTTGGCCCCTTCAAAAGCACTTTTTCAGATGCAAATAGGGGTTGCCATAGTAACTGTGGGCTTAAACGTAGCTCGCCGTCTAAATGGGGAATAAGAACATTTAAAAAGTAGAACACTCCAAAGAATACAATGAGAACGGAGAGAGACAGACGGAGAGCGAGCGAGAGAAAGATCTTTTGCCTTCTTGAGGAGTGAGGGCTATAAAAAGCGCCGTAGCTCTGCAAGGTGGCAGTTGGCTTGGCATCTATTCGCTGCATTGTCCCTCTCCCTGTCACACACACACACACACACACACACACACACACACACACACACACACACACACACACACACACACACACACACACACACACACACACACACAGACAGATAAGATCCAGCTCTCGCTTGGCCATTCCTCCTGCAGCCTCTGACACACACACACACACACTGACGCGCTCCCAAGATATCTGTTGTAATCTGCACATGTAACGGCTTTAATGTCAGGAATGTACAGTAGCATTGCCTCGGATGACCTCTGCAATCTGCTCATCGACTCAAGTGTCATTCTTTGTTTTTCAAGAGAGGGGAAAGTGAAAAGGAAATCTGTATGCCCTGACACCTGGAGCATTGATTACTCTCGCTGTCCTCATTTCACCTTTTATAGATCAGCATCGGCGTATGCAGGAGGACACTGTGAGACGCACGCAGACTCCGAGCCACGCACATAGTCCCACAAGATATGCTAGCAGGGTTAATTGCACAACAAAAAGCATGTATTTGTGCCAATAAGCATCCAAATGTTATATACATGTGCACAACAATTTACACCCCCACGCAAATAACACAAAACTGAGAGAATTTATTCCTGACACATATTATGTAAAAGGGACACGTGCTGAACAGAAGACTGTGTTATGCTAATTCATGGCTTTCAAATTCATTTAATTCACTGTTGAAATAAATTCACTGGAGCAGCCTGCATGAACAGCTGTCATCATAGATGTCACTCCGTCCATGTCCTAGGAATAGAGCTCTTGTTCGGACTGTAAGAAAAATAAGCTTGACAGTGAACAAAGTTTATTAGTTCACGCTGTGAGAGTCAAGAAATCTAAGACTTAACTCAGTGTCTACTTGAACAACTGATTCGTGAAATATGAGCTCTTTCTGATCTGCTATAGTTATTGTCTGCATATAAGGCATACAACTAAAACTATAGTATACATATATATTGGTGAAAAAAAATACTGGAAATCTAAGTTCACATGATTTTAAATATTGCTTGTTTGGAAAATGACAAACATCCAGTGGTTTTTTAATCTACCTTCTGACGACTTTCACACTAAGAATCTGAATTTGACACCGAAAATTTGAAAATAAATCATCTAGGGTCAAATAAACATGCATTTACTTGTCTGAATTCTGCTGGCACATCTGTTTGACGCCCTCTCGTGACACTGATACTAATCCTGACAGCTTTGCCAACAAAGAGCAGAGGGCAAGTGTCTGAAGAACGTGACGTGACAGCAGCACCGTGGACAGCGACCTCAGGTAGCTGATGGAAGCAGCCGCATACAGAACATGTAGGAGCCACCGTATAATAGTCACTTATAATTACTAAAACACGCGTCCATGCTTTAATTGTCATTTATACCGTAACATATAAATACTATAACTGCAGATTGGAATCCTTACATGGCAACCTAGAGTATACATTTTCAATTAGAAGCTTAATTATTCAACAGGTTTTACAGAGGATTTGTAAAGTATGACAGGAGAGCATCCAAGGCAAATTTCATCTAACTGATTCGGATAGCTATATATTTCAGCTATTTATAATAAATAAGAACTTCCAACACTTGTTACACATTGAATCAGCATAAAAGATAAGACAGATAAGACATGCAATATATTTGTATGGAGTTTTGGGTGAATCCAGGTATAAATAAGGATTGTTTTTGTAAGATTCAGGTCATTCAAATGTTCCTCTGAAGTACAGATTCTTAGTTCTTCGTTTTCAAGCTGTAAATTAACTTTGCTCTGGAAATGTAATGAATATATTTTGTAACAACAATCATCTTGGAAAATAAGAGCAGAACAATGTGGGTATCCGTATGAGTTTGTTTTGTCTTTTTGAATCCATGGTTAAAGGGTTCATTTCCTGAACATTACCCACAACGTGTCCAGCACCAGTATGGCAAGGGTCTTTTGTTGCAGGCATCAAATGTTCAGAGTTATATTCAAAGAAAGACAAAACACTCTAATGGCGTGACACAAACATGAGGCTTGCTAGTGGGCAAAGTTAAAGTTGGTTGTATTTGATTTGAGATATTAGTTTGGTTGTGCACCTATGAAGTGAAGGGTCCAGGTTTTTTACTGGAAACTTTCATATGCTCTCAAAAGGAAAATATCAGCCAAACTTACATCTCAATGGCATTGTCGGAAAACAACAACAACAACAACAACCTGTTATCCTCATATATGAAGACTGCTGACTGAAGAGATGAAATGAGCCACTGCTTTGACTTTAATCCTGTATTGGCCGTGCTGCAGGTGAAGCAGAGCAGATTGGTGACTGCAGTCATAGCTCACAGCAGCTTGACCACTTCTCTGGCTCGTAAATGCTTTTATGCCACAAGGTTTATTCTTTCCAGCTGCAGCCTTTCTAAATCCTCAAAACTGTTTCGCTGGAGGCAACCATGCTTTCCCTGAGATTATTTATGACCCTATTAAACTGGCATTAAAAAACAAAACAGTGGAAATGGTGTAGCCCTCACACATGTCAATCCAAATGCCAGAGGAGCCATAACGAATGGGGGGGATGATGTACAGAAAAACAAAAGCATGCCTGGGACATCGTTTGGGTTTCATTCATGGCTGTCGTTAACAACCCCATGATAATGAGAGAGCTATCAAATGAACCAAGCCGCTATGAACCGGGGAGACGCAGTTGCCAAGGTAGGATGCTATTAATATCAAGACAAGGAATTAAATCAATACGTCAAAACGACAGGGAAGGGGCAGCTCTCCTCCGCAAGATGGCAACCTGCAAAGTTTGGATGCTGTTTTTAAGTTTACTCCCTGCATATGAGCAATCCCTGAACACTTAGCATATCAACAACAAATAATGTTATATAAAATAAACGTACTGCAACACATCGTTGTGATGATAACGAGAAAATAAATATAGAAGGTTAACTAGTTTTCGTGTTTGCAAAGTTTTACTGAGAATCACATTTAACTTTAGAGCATTGCATATTTGTGTTTGAGTTAGCTTTGAGGCAGGCTATTTTAGTGCTGAATCGAGACAATCAATCAGTGAGGATGACGCCATTACGTAACTCTGAACGTCAAGTGAACATCTCTGGGACATTGTTTGCGTGATAAATAGATGTTGGGATAAAAACAGAAACTGTGTCGTTTGCGGTTTTCGCTGCGTACACAGAACACTTCCGCTTGTAAACGCTTTCACCGAGTTGATCAAAGCAAGTTTTCCCCACCAGGAGAGAAACAACAAGCTGCATTAATGAGTGCGTCCGCTCAGGAGACAGTGTCAGTCAGGCAGACTTATGGGAGCTCTCCGTGTGATCGATATCTTACCTGCTTCTCTAAGCATTCCTTCGCGGAGAGAGATGGTTTGGGTGACGGTGCCCTGTCACACACACATCCCTCCAACAGGTACAGTCCGGAGGGGCGTGAGCTGGAGTCGTTCTCGAAATAAAATAACATGTTCTGCAACAAAGCGAACCACTTTGAATGCCATTTTGTGTTGTCTGAGCTTTTCTTACTCAGGCAACCTCGCCTCGTCCCATCCTTCTTAGCCAAAAGAGCCAGATAGGTGATGTGGCCGTCATTGAGTCTCATCCCTTTCTGCATGTTGGCTGTGAATCCGAGAAGATCTGCGGGGAAGCCTGCGGACTCTACATGTTCTTTTCCCTTCTCAACACCTCCAAAACACAGTCAGACTTGGTGGGCAGCAGCCCACTCCTGCGTGTCCATCCACAGTTGCCACTGTAATGCCTGCGAACTGGGAAGAAATAAGCTGAAAAAGAAGAAGAGAAGGATGCACGGAGAGTCAAAGTTACGCATTCAACTGCACTCAGTCCACGCTGCGAGTGTAGGCTACTACAGCCCCGACGCCTTCTTAGAAATAGCTTGAGGACTGAGGTGTCCCCGTGCATAGACTACACACACGCGCAACACAAGCGAGCGCGAGCTCACACAGCATCCTGTGCTCACAGAGGGAGGAAGCGCAGTCACGTGACCCGTCCCCGGAGCAGCGGATTTCAGCACCTTGGACAGAAACTCCGAGGAACAACAACACAGAGAGAGAGGCAGCCTCCTCATGTGGAGAACCCCGGAGAAGATAAGGCTTATCAGGCAGGCTCTGCAGACTGACAACACACACACACACACACACACACACACACACACACACACACACACACACACACATCTGAGAAGAGTGTGTTCTTTCTCACAATTTGAACCACTTGTGTCTGATTCTGGGATAATGAATCAAGATAATCCTTTCAATGTCAATCATATCATTACATGTTAGACACTTTTATCCAAAGTGACTTACATACTCAATACTGTGGGCAATCCCCACAGTAGCAATTTGGGGTGAAGTGTCTTGCCCAGGGACACAACGACATGTTGACTGCAGTGGGATCTGAACCTGTGCTCCCCTGATCCGAACACCAACGCCCTACCCACTGCGCCACACGCCTCCGCCATAATTTATTGTCATATTGATATCTTTATAATTTTCTTGCATAAGTTATCATTAAGACGTTTTATTCATTTTAAATAACCTGTTGTCCAGCTCTTTAAACATACATTCATGGATCAATTAATTCATAGAGTTCATTTTCATTACTTTTTACTGTACATAAAATGTGAAAAACTAAAGGAATCTGTTTCAAGAAAGTATTTACACTACCAAACATACAATCTGTACCCCTGCAATACACACCTGTAGTTCTTTGAGGGTCTTTAATTGTTTCACGGCTGTTCATATTGTTCTGTGTTTCCTTACCCCAAAGGAAAAGTATCTGATGTGTGGGCAACACAATCCACACACAAGAAAAGATTGCACACATCACACACACATGACGGATGAAAAATGCCAGTGACATAATGCATGATATAAGAACAATATCAGAGAAGAAATACAGATATTACTTTGATTCTTTATTTTGCTACTGATGTTTATTTACTCAATTTTGAATGGGAAGCATTTCATTATAATATTTTGTGTGTGTGCGTGTGTGTGTGTTTGTCACCGGGCCTATGGGGGTAATTAAAACCTTAGTGCAGGTTGTGCAACAGGTTATGTTTTTAACAGAGAGGGGGAGATTAGGGAGCCATTTATTTTCTGTTGAGTGCAACCTATTTATTGTTGGTCTAGTTTTGCCCCAGTATCTGAGCATCATGCAAAATAATCCTGTTATGTGTTTTTGTTTGCAATCCAAGTATTAAGTAACGCAGTTATAAGTCATGCTCTTTGTTTAGACACAGATTATAGGACAGAGCTTCATGAATTAACCACAACACTAGTAGCTTTATATATAAAATACATACAGAAGCAATAATTTATATGATGTAACTTGCCCCACATCAGCTGCAATGCAATACATCCTTAATGAACCTTTTTCAAATGGCACAATAGACTCAATAGCCATCTCCTGATATTAAAACGTATTATTTTCTTTGTGTTAAAGTATAACGCTGAACATCATTTTATTTTGCCAACACAAATCTCTCTGTCTCTCTCTGTCTCATCGTCCCTCAGCTTTCAAATAAGAGGACGAAGATGAAAGTGTTGCAAGAGCACTCTTCCTCTGGTTCTGGCCATATTCGCACTTCCTGTCTAATTAAATATGGGTGCTGAGGCAATTCACCACCCATGCTGTCAGGGAGACAGGTAGCCACTGATGGCAAACAGCCACATTGAAAACGTCTGCGTCAGTTTGTTTTACTTTGAGTTTATCAACACTTGTATAGTGTATCTTAGTATTTATTATATTTCTGTGATATTAGCAGGTTTCAGGTGAAATTCCCTCAAGTCAGTTTAAGTGTACACTGATTTCTAGGCATCAATACACATTTTACATCTTGACCCAGTGATAATAGACGATGTTTAATTCCAGTAATGATACAATAAATAATCTATAGCAGCTAAACCTCTGTTTGTGTCCATATCTGCCCCATCCTACCACTTCTAAAGAACACAGAGAGCACAAAGAGTTTACAAAAGCCTCTCAACGCCGTCCACTGCTGGTACATTTACATATCTAAGAGGGCGAGAGAGATACTCATTAGGGTTGGCCCATAATTAATCCTGGATTACCATATTGGGGCGAGGACACACACAATGGTTTATTTCATCACAGGGCATTTCACAGTGGGATCATAGTGCTTTGTCTGTGTGTGATCATTAGAAGGACCCAGGGAGGTAAGAGGGCATAATTGAGTACATTTTGCCTGCTCTTAATGCTAGATTCAACCAGCATTTTATATTTTTATTTGTAAAAAGGCCACTATTCTTATGAATTGTTATTCCTTTTACATTTGTTTTAGTGTCAGGTAGAGTGAAGAGTTGCAGGGAGTGAAGGGAGAGAGATGCGATAGGGTGAAGCTGAAATGTAACCACACACACACACACACACACGCACACACACACACACACACACACACACGCACACACACACACACACACACACACACACGCACACACACACACACGCACGCACGCACGCACGTACGCGCGCGCACGCACACACACACACACACACACACACACACACACACACACACACACGCACACACACACACACACACACACACACACACACACACACACACACACACACACACACACACACACACACACACACACACACACACCCCATTAGTGGACTGAGCCACCGGGACGCCCCAGGCTCAAACTCTGTTGCCGGGTTTCTCCCATCCCATAATCAGCCCCTCAGACAGGGGTGGTAATGAGGTGGTGATTCTCCTCTCTGACTGGCACTGATAGTAAAGATTATTTTTATGGCTTCCTTTAATAGACGGTATAAAATAGAAAGTGATGCAGAAGATTGGAGAGACAGAGCGGTGATGACATTTGACAAAGGTCACGGAGGGGGATTCAAACCCATAAAGTTCTGACCAATAAGGAAGCCGTTTCCAGAAGGGGGGAGCCCACAGCTGGAGGTCATTTTAGACATATTGCGCAACATGATTTCCAGGAATTCTGTGTATTAATATATCAATGATTTGTCAACAAGAAGAAGAATTAACTTGGCTTCAGAAAAACCCCATCATAAGCAGAAAATCAGTGTTGGGAAAAGTGATGCATACACACTAAGCACACTTCTTTAACATATCATTATAATGTTTTGGGCTACCTGACACATCTAAGTCCAATAGTCACACTCTTGTACACTCTGTTTTGGTCTCCATCAACCACTGAGAACATTTTCCAGCTATTTTACGTCTATATGTTTGACTTTCTCCATTAGCTAGGATCTGTGTGAAATATTTGTATCATTGGCAAAGGTAGGACCTTTCCGATTTGAACTGATTCTCTGTATCTGTTTCATATTTGATCATAAAATTGCACGTAAGAAGTTGATTACATAACAGATGTTCATATATTGAATCATTAGTTTCAGAAATGGATTATGATAAAGATATCAACAATTATAATGTTTATTCTGGTGAGGGTTTATTCATTTAAACGTACTGAAGTACCTGGAGTCCTGAAAAAGGAGGAGTACACTTGCTTTTTTGTCACTGTCTTCCATGTCTAGCGACTCAGTTTGGAGATTGTAAACGACCACAAATCCTCTCACGCCTTGCACCCGACTATTCTCCCACAGTTATTGTCTGGAGTCACGTTTCATGAGAGACACTGTAGAGTGTCCTCTTCACAGGACAGTAGAGTAATGCAAAGACTTGCTGGGTTAGGAATGCAGCCTTGACACTCAAATAAAATGTGTCCATGAAATGTCAGTATAGAGTTCCATCCAATTCGATACATATGTCAAAAGCATCTGCAATCCATGTGTGAAAACCAGTTAGTTTGAGTCGTGTTAAATGAAAAAAGACAAAGGTTGGGTTTTTATTTAGTGGATTCATTGCGTTGTGTTGGCAGGACGTAGCTAGCTGAGACTGCAGCAATCACCACATGTACAAAAGAAAGTAAGTAGGCCCACTTAGACCCACTCTGTCTGTCTGACTGGAGTTGCCATCAAAGATAATAAAGTTGCTGCTAAAACAAAAGAATGAGTGAAAAGACGAGTGCGATTTATTTTTTTAAGAGCAGTGGAGGTAGATCATTTTTGTGTTTTTTTATTATAGGGAACATCACAATTGAGTTCCTCTCATATGATATACAACAATGAAAATGACCCCTTCTAACTCACTCAAGGTGAATACTCACCTGAATAGAAAAGTTCTTATTGGATTATAGAAAATATGATGACAGCATTTGCCTTTTAAGCTAACCTGATTATTAACTGGAAAACAAATTATCAACATGATCCCAATTCGACCAAATGCTTCACAATAAGAATAAGTAAAAAATACAAAATCAAGCCTTTTATAGAGACACTGCCAGAGTGTTTGTTTAAGTGGCTGTCTACGTCCTCTCTGAAGGCAGATTGGTCAGTGTGGGCAGCTCTCAGACTGGAGGATTTGGCTACAGCTCGGTGCTCTCTGCTGTGTGCATGCAGGGTCACCACCTGCTGCAGCTTCTCAGGCCAAGCCGCTTCAGAACGGACCACGAGGCTGAGCTTCAGACACAAAACCACCACAGATCTCACCCACGCATACCTCAACTGTCCCAACAACAACAAAAGCAAACAGATGGGGGATGCATATTGAACATTATGGAACAGGAATTGATCCCATCCTTGCTCTCAAGTGATTTTAAGTGTTTGTGCTGTGTAGCTTTTAGAAGAAGAGCCGTTTTATGTCGTACTAATATATATAAGAGAAGGCTTTCCAAAAATGGGTCAAAGATGTATAACAAAACAACATATCTTTGGTTCTGTTTAAGATAGT